GTAACTGAAAAGCCCCCCCCCGCTCTCCATTGACACGGTGTTACTACGTTTCTGGGTTTCTTTAACTAGCTTTCCGTTTGCATTTAATAATATTACATGCAGAAAAGTAGTCCAATATCAATAGGAATTCACTAGGAATATCAGGTACAAAATTATTTACGAATCACCACCTGAGATGGGCGAGTTACTGGTGTGCAATCAATCAACCATTGACTCAACCACCTGCTACAGTACTGACGGTGTATCGATAGTATTGGAAGTAATGAAGACATCTGCTTTTCATATACTTACACCTCATGAAAACTCAAAACGTCTAATCACATGTGCTTCGCTGGCGAACGTCGGCAAAGCCAGAAAACAGACGTTGTCAAATATTAACATCTCGTCTGCTGTTAACTCTATAATAATCGACTGCGGCTCCATAGCGAGAGGTTTAATTTGGAAGTAAACAGAGGCACGCAGATACACACGCCCTCATGAGTAAATAGTACACATGGACGACTCCCGTGTTCTTGATGTGCCGCAAACGTCTGGCTAGTTGATGGACTACGACCAGACCATCTACGCCCAATATTGTGTCGGCCAACGGGCGCACGGCGCAAAGTTCTGGAGACTCATTTGTCCTCTCTGCCGAAAAAACTCGTGTTTATGGAACCGTTGTTTATTTTCTCTTTATGATGACTTTTCCGCGTAGTTGGCTACCCGTTCCAAAAGTATTAAAGCATAATTAACCTATAAGCAAAAACTTAGTTTGGTATATATCCTGCTGATCAACTTACCTCTGCGAAACATCGATGATTTTTTGATGCAATGACTTCATATGTGCAGAATATCTGATCTAACACTATGAACAAGCTTTTACTTCTTGCAACGTTTCAATCTGCAGTGGTCTTCTTCATGGCTAAAGATTAGGTTTGCACAAGGAGGCTTTGCATGCAGTGGTACAAAATTCTGGCCGCAGGTTAGCCTGGTCAATTCAGCCGTAGAATAGCGCTGGGTATGCGTCTTGCTATAATTTTCATAATCTTCATCAATCATATAAACTATTCCAGTTATTATACAGTTGGTTGTAATTCACTGCAGTACGCAATAATTCACTGATCACGTGCTTGGTCTTTTCTCGGCAAGTCTCATCATTGGCTCTGTACTTCAAGTAGCAGTCCGCAGAGCGGGACTTCTGAGATAAGGGTTCATCGGTTCATCCCATCAGCCGCTAGAGGATTTGTAATCATGTGTGTTTCATTACCGCCAAAACGAGCAACGATTTCCCTAAAAAATACGCAGCTCACTGTATCCACGTCCACTGAACCGTTCAGCTCTGAAATGACCCTTTATATATGTTATTCAAATGCTAATTCTGATCCGAGTTCATCATCAGCATGTTTTCAACGTCTGGGCTTTGTCAATTGTCGAT